AAGGCTCATTTCCTTAAGGCACAGCCACCCTTCTTGGGCTCCCATCATTTCAAAACTCCTACTCTGCAGTGCGTCCTTGACTAATCGCCTGAGTTCATTGAAATCAGCTTTCCTAAAGTCTAGCACTTTCACCCTACTAGTTACCTTACCCACTCGATGTCTTATGGTGAATTCTATTATTAGGTGATCACTGTCCCCCAGATGGCTACCGATCTGGAGGTCCCGTACCATGTCATCCCCCGTTGCCAATACCATATCCAGTATGGCATTCCCCCTAGTGGGACCGTGTACCTCCTGTGTCAGGTGGAGGTCCTGTACACAGGTTAGAAACCTGCGTGAGCGGTGGGACTTTGCTGTCTGTGACTCCCAGCAGATGTCCGGGTAGTTTAGGTCCCCCATGACTACCGCCTCTTTAGCTTTTATGGTCTCCGAGAGTTGCCTCAGGAGCCCCGAATCCCTTTCTTCCCCTTGATGCGGGGGTCTGTAGCAGACCCCTACCACCAAATCCCTTTCTCCTTGCCCCCCATGTAGCCTAACCCACAATCCTTCTACCTCCTCATCCTTGGATTCCGTCTTGATGAGGGTTGACGTATATTGCTCTCTGACATAGAGTGCAACCCCTCCCCCTTTCTTCCCCACCCTGCCCTTTCTGTACAATCTATAGCCCTCAATATGTACTGCCCAGTCGTGGGATGAATCCCACCAGGTTTCCGTTAGCCCCACTAAGTCATGTACGTATTGAACTAGCCATGTACGGATTGAACCTTGGTCTTCTTTCCACCTCATACTGGAGTTTCTATAAATAATGCCTCTGCACTGCTTCTCATTCCCCTTTCACCAGGCATCATTGTTGGCTCTGTGGCCCTATGGCTACTGGTTGCTTGTCTGTGGATGCACACCAACTTCTGATGCCCCTGAAGGGGACTGGAAATTGTGATTTGAAAATTAGGGCAGCTAAAGGAAAGAAAATAATTTCATGATAAAATCTCCTGCTTTGGCAGGAAAATCTGCTATATAGAGTGAGTGGTTCTCTATTTCTCTTCCCACTTCAGCTGGGCCAGTAATTCTGAATTCCCCAAATATGTGCCCCATCCATCTCTAGGACGGGAAGAGAGAAATATTCTGCAGGTTCCATTTTTCTCCTGTCTTGACATTTAGATCCTTAACTGTGAGACTACTGAGGTTTTGCCGATTTCTGTGCCGTGCAATGGAGCAAAACTCAGGTGCATTTGTCTCTATGATACGATCAGAGAGCTGGATCAACTGTATTAAAAATTGCCTTTTTGCCAATGAATAGAGCAACACTAATAATAACCTTGGAGGAGACAATGTGTTCCAGCCCCATCACCAGATGGGGAGTCCTGCTGTGGTGTTAGCAGATGGAAAGGCAAATCAGGGAAACTGGCCACTCCATATAACAGAAGAAGCATTGTTCATGCTGTGCTCCCTGGGTGGGACCCTCTCCTTCAGCATTACTAATAACAGGATTAAAAAAGACACATTGCTTTTACCATATAACTGACAGCATCAGTGTCAGAAAATATGATCATTGCTCTGAATTCTTTGTGATGTTAAGCATTAGGGACCAGTGCGATTAAATTTCATCCAAATACAAGGCCATTAAGAGGGTTTAATTACATATGATTTCTCTACTGTAATCCAAAGACTAGTAGAATTGTGCCTCCCTTTAGTGTCTAATTTTCATGCTAATATGCTGATTAATGACAGTCATAATGTATAATTGAGCCTAGGGTTTTTGAAGTCTATACATCTGGGGTGTCAGTTAAATAGTCCAAGGTCAATGGACATATATTGTTTGATGTTAGAGATCTGGTTCAATTTTCCATACCATTAAGAAACTCAAATGATGAAGAGCACTTTCTATTTACTTACTAAGAGATGAAAATATAGCACATGTACAACATAAAAATAACAGACTAATAATGATGCACTGTGAGGAAAGTTCTGTATATGGAAAGACAAGTCTATTAATATCCAAAGAGGGTTTCACTGTGAGATGCAAGATTAAGCAAAAAAAATCTTTCATGAAGAGAGGGTGGTATTAGGTGAAGATTATTAGGAGAGATGAGAAAGAGGAGGAAAATAAAGGAAAGAAAGAACATGATAAAAAGGCAGGCATGAAGGGATAAGAATTATGATAAAGAAATGGGGAAACAAAAGCACAAATAAGGAATAATTGGAATGTATGCATTGTTGTAGGCTTTTTCACATGAACTTGACAATTTATTAATGAACGCTGTTCTAATTAACAGTGCAGTCTAATTGCAAACTGGTGTGGAATCAATTAATACTTCATTTTTTAAATGACAATTCTCATCAATTAGTTATATTCCATGTTTATTAAAATTGTGTTCATTAAAAGTTTATTATGTTGGAAGGACACGATCTATGATGATTATATCTGATAACTGCTATAGATGGGTAAAAGAGCATGGTACTGACTGAGGAACTGGTACATGAAAATAATTCACCTAGCAAGTTATAGGTGGAGACCATCATTCAAAATGAATGTATTTGTAGGGGGAAGGACCCCAGTGTCTGCAACTGTGGCCAGTTCTTGGATTAATGACATAATTAGGTTTCCTGCGGGAAGAAATGCACACTTTGATCTGTGAAATGACTTGGCCTCTATGGTTTAGATATTCCAGTAAAATATTTGTACAGTATCAGGTTTCTTAATTGCTGTTATTTCATCCCTTTGCTGTCCCTTTGGTTAACCACTTTTCTAAATGGATTAAAAATAAGCGCAAGGTCTGATGATATTAATCAGCATAGCTCCATTGACTCCAAAGGGCCTGATTCTCCTCATACTTACATTTATGCCATTGACTTTGACAATTATTCCTGATGTAGACTAAAGTAGAGTTGGAGCCTTTTTTCTTCTCTAGGAAATAGCTTATGAACTGCTGCAAGCACTTTCAGGCTGTATCACAGGTCCATCTATTTCTATGTTTATTTTTGCCCATATTTTGCAAAATTCTGCAAGATGTGGTCTCTATAGCAAAGGATAACATTCAAGATACTCAGAGACAGCTGGACTTGCTTTACTTTCACAAATTTCACACACGAGCCTTTGTGGGGTGCAGTTATTTTGCACATCTCTAGTGAAATATGGGCCTGAAACCAATTTAATTGCCCCAGACAGGATGGATCAGTTGGTATTATAGAGCTGACACAGAAGTATTTAGCTCTTCTTCAGTGCTACAGGGAAAGGAGGGCATGACAGTAGGGAATGAATAGGGGCTGCCTGTCTGCTTTATGCCAATCTTTCATTGATTTTTTTGGATTCCTGTGACCACTGCAGCCTGGCAGAAGCTTGTATCACTCTCAGATCACTCTACTGTAGCATAAAGGTGTCATACATGGAATGGCACTAAGGGCTGAGTCCAGCACAGATGAATTTTAGACTTGTGCTTGCTTGCTTTTTTCAGTTAAGAATCATGATTTAACTTGGGGAAAAATGCTTTATAGCAAATACAGCTTAGGCATATACACTAATGAAACCTGTTCCTAAAGATGATTTATAGGTGTGCAAGTAAGGACTTCTTTGCCCCCTCAATCAGGGTAAAATCCAAATAGCTGGAGTATAGTTGTTTCTGCTTCCTGTATATACCCTGGGTGCATCTACACGTGGCCATACAGCGCCGTTGTTACTGCGTTGTCATTTAGTACTTCCTCTTGGAAGTACTAAATGACGGTGCAGTAACAGCCTGTACTGTGCCGTGCTGGCCATGTAAGGTTATTTTTAGCTGCTACGTTGCTGTAGCAACACACTATAATGAGTTTTGCTATGGTGACATAGCTGTGGTGTCACAGTTTTTACCTGTCGATGCTACATTATTGGAGATGCGCCCCTGTGTTTGCTTTTATCTTATTTGTTGCTAGAAGGTCTAATACCATTTTAGAAAGCACATGACAAACACCCACACGACTCTGAAATGCTGATTAAGGTTATAAAGGAGAAAGAGAAGATTTTTATTCTATATAGAAGCTTACATAGACTACCCTTGAAACAAAGAACATGAATTTAAACTTTTGTAAGAGTTCCTGTTCGCAGATACCTTATTAAGTAGCCCTGGCTATTAGAACTGGTCAAATTTGTTCCTTTTGCCTAAAAATGTAACAATCAAATAGTTTTTCATTCAGCTTCTTTTCATCCTAACTCCCATATTCATTGAAAAAATCGTGCAAGGAGTCTACTGTGAGTCACAGATATCAATGGAAATGATTTCAAAGGGGAAGACATAACTGCTGATTTCTTTTAAAGAGGAAAATATACCTTTCTCCTCTCCTCTGCAGCTTCCAGCTTTTTCTGGATCTCCTCACGAGACAGTTCTTTCTTCTTTGGAGAGGCTAAAGTTCGAGGTGCTTCTGAGACAGGCGATGGTGGCTTTAAGATCAATTCAAAGGCCTGGCCAGAGGCACGTTTGTTGATCTGTTTAACTTCCATATCTGTGAAGTAAATTTAACAATGCTAAACCCAACCTTGTGTTTAGGAATGGAAAGACAATATCTATAGTTGTCTAGGAACCAGCAGTATATAGGGGAATTAGCAGAATTGCATTTGGTACCTCAAGCAAAATGGCTGACTAGAGACTGAAAATTGTTCTAGCAAGAGGTACCTTCCCTTTCATTTCAGCATAAGTTGATTCTTTGCCTTTGCTGGGAGCCTGGAAGAGTGCCCTGTGATGCAGACAGACATTAATGTGTCATATGTAGTAGGACTGTGCAAAGCTTAGGTTGCTGATTCGATCTGGCAGAGATTCAGCTCGATTCGGCAGCCAAATCTCCGAATCCGAATCAAATCAGGAGACCCTTTAATCTCTCCGAATTGAATATGAACCACCCCAGGATCCCAGGTAAGGCTGCTGGGGCCAGCCCAGGTGCTGGTCCCAGCCTCCCTTACCCTACCCGGGGCAACGTGCCACGTGCCAGAGCGCACATGCATCGGGGTTCCCCAGGGCCAAGGAGCACTGGCACATATTGTGCTGCTGCCCTTTGTCCCTGGGGAAATGCATGTTCCCACTCATGGGGACATGCCCCACTTGTCAGGTCATCAGAGAAGCTTACCTTGCAGCTGAAACTTCTCCTGTACCAGTTCTATGGATAAAGAAAGAACATCTATTTCTAGTAATGTCCCCTTAAATTCATTTTTAAAACACTTTCCCCAATGTTTTGTTAAATTCTCTTGGGGTCAAGAGCTCTACAGACCTCATGGGTAGAGTGCTGGTCTGTTTTTTGGGTTTTTTTTGCAGTTGCTATTGAGACCCTCTTCTCTGTAATCCAGAAATGCAACCCCCCCCAAAAGTCTGTCCAGTCGCTTGCCATCCTACTGCCTGTCTGCTGGCTCACAGACAAAACACCCTGTTTGTATTTATTTAAAAACACAGAGCCTGTGTACTCTGAGCCTCCTAGAGGAAACTCCAAATACACTCTTTTTAAAGAATTCCCTCATTATTTATCACGGAAAAAAACACGTTTTGTTTTTTTTCCCCTGAGAATTGCATAAGCCATGAATATTTGTAGTTCTCAGGTGGGAAGGACTTCTTGAGGCACTAAGAACAGTATAACTAATTATAAAATAGCTAGCTTTGAGATTTTAATACATTGTTCTTGGGACCAAACTTTCCCCATAGTGAGTGATAGGCAATCAATACAGGCTAACAGTCAGAGACAGCAAGTGAATTGTTAAATAAGTATTGAGTAAATGACATGAGAAACTGTTGGAGTGAAATAAGTCATTTCCCAGCACTGACAAATTATCTAATAAGTAAGATGATTTCCTGTGAATGTTACTCACCATCATATTTATAGATATTTATGTTGCGAGGTTCAGGATAAAAACAAGAGCAGATCAGAGACAGCATGGACAGCTCCTTCATCTTTTCCTTGTAGGCTGAAATAAGAAATTGTGTTAGCATACCTCAGTTTCCTTATTGTGAGTTTTTAATTTAGGGGATAATTACAGTAGCTGGCACATCTGCTTAGCCATATGTCTGGCAGAACATTTGAATCCCAAACTGAAAGATTTCTCTCAAATGTATGCCATTTCTTCTGAATTTTATCTATTTAACAATAGATACATGTCCAACACGTAGTATTCTAGAGACTGTTTTTGACCCCAGGCTTCCTATTGTATACCATATAGTTTCAGTTTCACATCTGCTACTCTGGTTGTTTCTGGCTTATATAAGATGAGTCGACCTGCTCCAAAATATATTTAATATTAGGGTTGCATTGTTGTGCAGTTAGATGCAAGCGAAGTTCCTCTGATACCTTCAAATGCAACTCTGCAATCAAGATCTATGAAATCCTGCTCATATGTTGCATCATACAAACAGATGCTAAAGATACAAATAAATGTGTTTCTCAGATTAAAAAAAAATAAAAACAGATACGGATAAATTATATGGTTCTCAGTAAAATTTCTTTATGCATGTTAGTTCCTGAAACCAAAAAAGCAGTTTTCTACTTTTCAGAAAAAAGCAGCCAAGATTATTGGGGCAGAATGAGAGACACACTCTAATCTAGTGTTAGGCCATTAAGGAGTTTAATAATGCTTTTAATGTATAAAATGGAGCAATAGACTTGTTTATAGTCACCAGGCAGGTCAGTAGCAGAAGCAGGGAAGAACCCTGATCTTCTAACTCCTAGCTCCGTGTCCTATTTGACTAAGCTGTAGGAACATACATTGTAAGAGTTGCAAATTTTCAAACTCTCTATACTGATTTGTATCTTCAGAGAGTTCATCATACAAACATCCTTCAAATTCATCTTTGTATACAAAAGTGTCTCTCAGCACGAGAAATTACTTAAATTATTCATGTAGATACAGGGTATGTAAGCAAATGTTCACATATGCTCTAAAATATAAACAGTGCTGAAATTCTTATAATAAACATATTGGGACAAATTTAGCACTGATATTGCTGCATTAAATCAATAAAGCTATGCCAGGGATGAATTTGACTTGTTAGTTTTAAAATAGTAGATGTATAGGAAACTGCCACTCAGTTTGCTTACTCCTTCTGATCTTTTTTTTCTCGGAGGACCCAAGCATTTTCTATCAGAGTCTGACTGCTTTCAGTTCCTAACAGTAATGACCCCCAGGGCCATGATTGATTCAACAAGTTTCCAGGATTGGATGTCAAATCAGCATGTGACTGCTGCTTAGGGTCAACAAGCAGCTTCTGATTGTGTGATGCCAAATAACTCACACAATGTGTATGCATCTGACTGTATGCCTCATGTTAACTCTTATTGGGCACATCTACACATGTGCTTTACTGTGCAGTAGACTAATTTACTGTGCAGTAAATCATCACTGTCTACACATGCACCACAATTAGGCTGCAGTATATTAATTGACTCTGGTGTAGGATAGTCCTATCAAACACAGGTACTATCCAATGGTGGCGTAAATTACAGCACTTAAATGCATATGTAGATGGTGAAGTTGGAGTTAGTTTACTCTGGCTCAAATTGCACCAGAGTTTACTGGGACTGACAAATTCTTTTACTTTCTGGAAAAATATCTATAGTGTAAAATAAAACATTTGATGGACAGTAAATTAATTATCTAACACTGGGAAGACTAACTGGATTTATATCAGTCATTGCGTACATTTACAAGTGATTGTTTTGTTTTTGATGGCCAAATGCAATGTAAACAGAATCACTCCTTAGCATACAGTATCATGTATATAATTATTTTACAATTAAAAAGAGCTATGGAAAAGTTACATATTTTAAATTACAAGATAACATTATTCATTTTGGTTTTAATCCAGCAAAGCACTTAAGCACATGCTTAATTTTAAGCACACAAGCAATTATATTGATTTCAATGAAACACTCGGAAGCTTCATGTTAAGAACTCTCATTAATAGTTTGCTGGCTAAAAATACCATCCCGTGTTTCTGTAGAAATAAGTAAGCAACTATGCATTCTGTTGCTTGGATTTCTTCTCTGCCTGGTATATGATATTAAGATTTTGTTAAAGCATTTAAAAAAATCAGGAGAGGTATTAGTTCTTCGAGACTGTTGTCTATAAAACATGGCTTGGGGGAGATAACAAGTTGATCTGCTTTCATTTCTTTCAGCTGCACAAAAAGCACCTTGATAGTGGTTGTCCTATTTCATTCTGGCCACTGACAGAATTAGGATGATATACTGTGCTTTAAAAGCACTAGGCTCTTTTTTCTCTAATGTTATAATTTCTATTTGTCCTAGAAAGTCCTTCAATGTCACTTGTAACTTTTCTTGTGCAATCCTGCCAAGTTCTGGAAGTTTCTACATCACTAAAAGTAAAACATACAAATAATATAATACAATAAAGGAAAGGCTTCATATCCCTTCTGTCTTAGGTACTTATGTAGTCTCTGTTACTGTGGTATCTGAGTGCTTCACAACCTTTTAAATACATTTCTTCTCTCAATACCTAAGTGAGGTAGGGAACTATTTTTTCCATATCTTTCAGGTAGGGAACTGAGGCCTAGAGGACATGTCTACATGAGATGCTTCATGTGCAGTAGCTTAATGACACTGTGCAGTTGCGTGTCACAGCACGGACAGTGCTAATATGCTAAGGCACAGTATTGATTAGGCTACCAGGCAGTAGTGTCACTAAAAAGGTGTTCGCCAGCACTACTGCATAGTAACTCTAGTTACTGCACATTTAGTACTAAATTAAATGTGCAGTAAGTACTGCGCATTAATGAACATATTGATGCTCCCAGAGAGACTGCAGCCTTGATCCTCGAAGGTACCTAAGTCCCATTGATTTGGATAGAATTTTATTGTGGAAGAGTTTATCTAAAGTGACCCAAATGCCTAATTCTCTAGGCACAGAGATTTCAGTGGGAATTAGGGGCATAAACACCTAAGGGTATCTTTACATGTGCTCTGGGGGGTGGGGGTGCTTGAATTGGGGTGGCTCTCGCTAGAGCTGCTCTAATTAAAGTGTCTGCAGCATCTCATGTATTCAGCATCTCATGCTTCAAAATGGCAGCAGGGGCACTTTAACTAAAGCTTGTTCAGTGAGCTTTAGTTAAAGCACCCCCACCACCATTCTGAAGTGCAAGTACATGAGATGCTGAGGTTGCTAGAGAGTGCTGTCCAGCATGCTCCAGTGGATTTGATTAACTGAGTCTGCTCTGATGAGCTGTAATTATAGTGTGTTGGAGCAGATGTCCCACAGGTCTACAGGCCCCCTAAGTGACTTGGTCAGGGTTACACGGGAAGTGTGTGAGAGCAAGAAACTGAATCCAGATTTCCAGTGTCCCAAGCTAGTATTTTAGCCACTGAACCACTCCTTTTCAAAGGGCAGCTTCATAAGACTTATATGTACAGACAGTGTTTAATTTTGCATAAAAAGCAATTACTTTATTTTTTAGATAAAATGACAGACAGGGAACCCCTTTTTGTTCCTCCTTACTGTATTTAAATCAAGACAATTTCTATATGTATTTGAGGAGATCAGAGCTGTCTTGAAATTAGCCTTTCAGCTTGTGCCTGATATAAAAGGTAAAGACTATCCTTTAATTCAGTAGGGTGGAAGGAATAAGTTTAAGTCAATGGTCCTAAAATTAACAGACATATGTTCCTAGGTTGATTCAGTCAGGAAATGACTGAATGCAAATGCTTCAAGTGTTGTGTTTCATAGGCTTGCTACAGATGTTACACTTAACACGTGTTAAGTACACAGAAAGCTCTTTAAAGCTGTAACAGAATAGGTGTCCATGGCCTGTAAAGTTCTTTAAAAATGGCAGACCATGCTGTAAGTTAACCTTTGATGGACGTGTTACCAGACTAAAGCGCTTTAGGTTACAGGCCTTTTTCAAACATCTGTGCCACATCCAACACATATTGAGCTAGGCTGCATTCGCTGGCATCCCAGGAGCCTCTTACAGGGTGGTGTGCTTGCCTCAGGCAGAGCTTATCTGCTCTGCCTGCACAGGGCTGGTCATGCTCTCTCAGTTGTCAAGTCAGTGACAGTCTTTGTTCCTGGCTAGCTGTGAGCCACAGGCTGGCCAGGAGGGGGTCCCTGCAGCTGACCCAGTGCTGCAGCCTACCTGGAAGGGCTCCTTTTCCCCAGCTGCAGCCAAGTAGCAGCACTGTGTGTTCCCAGTGCCACTTTTTACTGCTCTGGGAACTCTTGTGGGGAGATGAGGGGAAAGGAGCCCCCTTGCCATGGTGGGGCCCAGGCCAGCCCCTAGCAAGACCCCAACTGGGAAGCTTGGGATAAGCCTGCCCAGCTCGGGGGCTCCTTTTCCACCCTCCCCACCAAAGTTCCTGACACAGGGAACTCATACAGCCACTGCTGACTGCAGCTGGGGAAAAGGATCCCCTCTGCTGGGTGTCTCCCCAACCCCCACTTGCTGTCTGGGGTGTCTGGGGGGCTGGGCTGGGCTGTCCTGCAGCAGGGGAGTTCCTTTCCCCCGGGTGCAGCCAGCAACGGCACCATTAGTTTTCTATGCCACTTTTCGCAGTGTTGGGAACTCCCATGGGGGTGGGGTGGGTGGAAAAGGGACGCCCCCCACTGCAAAGGGGGGCCAGCCAGGCCCCTAGAAAGACCCAAGCTGGGAAGCTGGAGGGGGGGCACTTTGCAGTGGTTTTCCTCCCCCCCCTCCCCCCCCGAGTTCCTAGTGCAGCAAAAAGCAGCACAGGGAACCCGTGGTCTTGGTGCTCACTGAAGCTTGGGAAAGGGAGCCCTCCCCATTATGAGGTCCCCCCTACCCCCAAGCTTGCTG